TGTCTTTGCCAGGCTGGGATTTGCCTCTGCTAGCATTGTGCCAGAGCTAGCCCCGTTTCCAGGCTGGGCACCCAGGGGGCTAGTACCAGGACCCTGGATTCTGTTTACTTCTTCTAGGGATAAAGGCAATTGTTTCCTAGCGCTTACCCCAGCAGAGACTGGAAAATACCAGCCTGGCACTACAGAATTAATTTCACAAGGAGACTATGCTATGGTTATGTTTTATTTATGGCTCTGTCTGATCAAGATGATTTCTCTCAAAAGAAACATCCAGAGCAAACAATCTTAAAGACGTGGAGAATCTTCCTTCTCTGTCTTCCAAAACAAGAAAGGCTGGGAAAAAGCAAGCCAGATACAGCAACCTAGGGGATCATGAAACTCAGTGTGTCAAGAAGCGAACCAGAGTTTTGGATGCACAGCCTTCCAGGAATGAGGTTGGACAAAGTCCTCTGAAGAAGGTAAGATACCCGGTATGGTGACTGCGCTCCTCTAGACACTAGAGTCCGAATAGGAGCTGTAGGCGCTCATGCGTGCGCAAGGGGCTTAACGTTGGGCTTCCTCAGCCCCAGGACGGAAGGTGAAATGATCCACCAAAACCATCCACAGGCGACCCCAGAAAACCCTAGTCTCTGACACCCCAAAAGTGCAACCCGCAGCTGCCACTGCCACCCGCGTCCTACGCTCCGGGTCTCCCGCTCCACCCAAGATTTCAGTAGTTAGCGACTCCCACTTCGAGAAATCGGATATGAGTTGCAGGGACAAGTCAAGCTTTCAGATCACATCCTGATGTTGGCAACCCAAGCAGATGCAGATATGAAGGGATTGGCTCTGTGACATTTCCAAAGCACACCGTCGGGTAGCCCATGTAGAAAAGCGCTCGGGAACAACCATGAAGTCAAGGACCCTGGCCCTCACTATCCCAGAATGGTTAGCTGAAAGCCTTTAGTTCCCTCCCCTCTCCAAGAAACCGGCGCGAGTGCAACTGCAACGGAGTCTGAGGTGTCCCTGCAAGGGGGATCTAGAGGGTTCGGGATGTGGACAGGCAGGGCCCACCTCCTCGTCCTGCTCCTCCTGGGATGCGCTGCTGACCCGGGGTACCGGCAGTACCGCTCCTCCGGGGG